ATGAAAGGAATGGAAGGAATGGAAGGAATGGAAGGAATGGAATGCATGGAATGAATGAAATGAATGAAATGAATGAAATGAATGGAATGAATGAAATGAAATGAAATGAAATGGAATGGAATGGAATGGAATGAAATGGAATGGAATGAATGAATGAATGAAATGAATGAATTGAATGAAATGAAATGAAATGAAATGAAATGGAATGGAATGGAATGGAATGAATGAATGAATGAAATGAATGAAATGAATGTAATGACTGGAATGAATGGAATGAATGGAATGAATGGAAGGAATGGAAGGAATGGAAGGAATGGAAGGAATGGAATGAATCGAATGCATGAAATGAATGAAATGAATGGAATGAATCGAATGAAATGCATGAATGAATGAAATGAATGAAATGAATGAATTGAATGACATGAATGACATGAATGACATGAATGAATGAATGAAATGAATGGAATGAATGGAATGAATGAAATGAAATGAAATGAATGGAATGAATGGAATGAATGAAATGAGTGGAATTAAATGCATGAAATGAATGAATGAATGAAATGAATGAAATGAATGGAATGAGTGAAATGAATGAAATGAATGAAATGAATGAAATGAATGAAATGAATGAAATGAATGGAGTGAATGGAATGAATGGAATGAATGGAATGAATGAAATGAAATGAAATGAAATGAAATGAAATGAATGGAATGAATGGAAGGAATGGAATGAATGAAATGAATGAAATGAAATGAAATGAAATGAAATGAATGAATGAAATAAATAAATAAATGAATGAATGAAGGAATGAGTGAAGGAATGAAGTCGTCTTATCCCTTCATTTTTTCCCTGGCACCTTGGCTCTCTAAGTTGTTACTCGTGGTTTCGGTTGAAATTCTACGGGATGCCTTGCGGCACCCGACCGCCTTTAGGGAACACAACCCAGAGAAAGTGGAGGCGCCTAGGTCCCATTCGGCATTGACATTGGGTGAAATTACGTTTTCCGTTCTGCATCAACAAAATTGAGACAGCTGCGACACCCGGTAACCATTTGAAAGCAACCGCAATTGAAGGTCATTACTGTAGCCAGGCCATTTGCATGGCACGTAGTTAGATCCGACCCCGGCTTGGACACAGGTATTCCGACATGGGACATCATGTTACCAGGTTTTGCGCTGCAGCATATTGAAAGATGTTGAAGGTTCCGAAAAAAGAGAGTTGAACGTGGCAGGACACAGATAGACAGGACGAGGCCTGCTCCCCAACCACCCATTCATTGGCTTCCGGCGGCGTTTATGCTGCAGCGCATGACTATTTCACGCATGGGTTCCCTCGTCCATCACCGCTGCGGCTCAGGTTTCAAACGATGCAATTGTCAGATGAGAGCTCTGATGAAAGCTGATGGGGAATGCCGGGGTGACGGGCCAGCATCAAGGCGTCAAAAGGCTCACTGCAGGTCTCGGGGCGAGTAAACAAGGGACGCAAATTTGCCCGTTTGAGATAGGTTGGAATCCTTAGGCATTTAAGGTTTATGTGCAAAGCAAACAGCTCTGACGCAAGTGGCAAGGCACATTTCCATTGTCGTTTCGCGTCTATCACATTAAGTTGCGCTGGATGAATGCCCTTATGACAGCGCGTCGATGCTCAAGTATTATATAAAGGTCTGAAATGGCTGGACCTGGGGACCAGCCGGCAAAGGGTTTGGCATGGTAGAGCGAGGCACTTTAGATTCCTGCACCTGTCTCATTTTGGAGCCCTTGGCTTTGAATACATATCATTGTACTTGCGGATATCGTGTATCTGATTAATTATTTTTGCACGTAGTTGCTGATTGTGTGGATTTTGTTTGTATGTTTGTTAGTGGCGGCCGCAGTGCCTGTTGTGAATTCATTTCGCAATAAATATCAATTA